TAGTGCTTTAAACTTCTTAGGCAAGGCGGCCTTGGCAATACGTCATATAAAAGGATCATGCTTGTCAGCTCTCTCTTTACTTCCACGTTGCTTAGAGGACTGTCCCTATCTGATGAGCTAGACGCGTATATCCAACCTTGCTTTCTGGGCTTTTCCTAAGAGGAATCTAACGTACTACTATCGTGCCCCCGATGCTGACGGCGTCGCCTCTTCTGCATTCCTGGCGATTGATCGTGCTCGCGGGGAGGTGGTAGTTGCTGGGATTTGACCAATTCTCGCCGCAAGCGCTCGTTCTCTGCTACTATGTCTTCAAGACACTACTCACTACATTGCATTTGACTCATTAAGGTTTGCATGGCATCCTCTACAGATGTTGATGGCTGAAATGGGGTTAGCGGATCAAAGTTTAGAGACCTCCTTGTGAGGGTTTCTTCTAGACCTGAAGTTGTCTCGGTTGTAGCATTATCAACTCCGGTGACTGGTGGATCTTGGCTTGGGTTTGCCATTGATGAGTTTGAGTATTTCCACAAACAACGCCAATTGTGAGGAAGTGGTTACGAAATGCTCCTTCTATCCAAGCAAGCCCTCGTAGGATCTTCGCAGCTGTCACCTGAAATGGAAATAAAACTTCGGACTGTGGTGCCAGAATTAAAGATTGGTGTTTTTTTGGTTTCTTGAGGTTCAAGGTTCTTCTCACATACTTGTTTCTCTAGCCTCTCTTCTCCTTTTATAAAGTCACTGTCCTCGATTTTTACTTCATACAATTTAGCCCTTCATCATCATTCTGTCAGGGCATCCCCCTATTATACTTCCTTGAAAGGGACAGTCTGGTCCCACCTAATGCGGTGATGCCAGATCACCTGACACATTTGGCTCTATTGTCCAGCACAGGTACCTGTAATTCGGCGCTCCTTGATATTTTCATGCTTATTCAGACATCTATTCAGCAATGGCGTAGCTCAGTGGGCTTTGGCCTTATTTGGCCCATCTTAAACGGGTTTAGATGCTGTTGGCCATTTTCAAGTATATTCTTCTTTCGGCTCCCACATCTATCATCCTAGAGCAACCTTATCATGTGGAATAAGCATGAAGCCTAAACCAAAACTCATGTGTTTTGTTGGTAGTGCAAAATTCAGAATCATGGCTAGTGATTGAAATGAACTAACTATCTAGTTTATACTTTGAAAGAAAAAATAAAAATAAAAATAAAAAATAAATCACCTAAAAGAATAGAAAACTAAGGCATAACACTTCCATTTCTTATTTTTTGTCTCCATTTTGTAAAAGTGAAATTGATTTTAAAATTTTTAATTAAAAAAAAAAAACAATTTCACTTATTTTAAAAATAAATTTTGACTCTCTCTCTACCAACTGCCGCCACTAGTGTTGATGGCCACATGCAACCTTCGGCCACATTGTAGTTGACTGTCGATGAGCTTTGGTCACCTTCTAAAGATTCTCTGATAGACTTTGGTGACCGCACTACAAAAAATAAGAAATTTAGGAACTAAAATGTTAGCCCTAAAAGTAAAAGTTTTATTGTAAAAACAGTTGGAAAGAAATTATTGTCATCACAAGAATTGTCGCTAAAATGTCGTCCTAAAAAAATAAATAAATAAATAAACAAAGATTTTTAGTGACAAAATTTTAAAAATGTCTCTAATAAACACAATTTGAAGGACAAAATAATTTGGTCGCAAAATGTTTATTTTTTGAGATAAAAATTTGGTCCTAAAATGACAATAATTCATTACTAAATATTTAATTTTGTCACTAAAAATACAATAATGACACTTGTAATAAAAATATGAATGCTAGGGCGATAAAGCCAATTTTTGATTGTCTTTGCCTAAAGGTCTAGGCGCTCAAACACTTTGTCCATAAAGACAAGCTTCTGTAAAATGACCAAACTACCTATGCGTGTATATATATATACATATTATTTTCCAAACCAAACCCTAATCAAACCATACTCTCTCTCTCTCTCTCTCTCTCTCTCTCCACAGCTCCTCTCCCCCTTCATCTCTCATTACCATTAACCCTCACCCTTCGCCGCTCCACCACCACTACTATCGCGTTCGCCACCATCACGACATCTCTCTCTTCCTCTCTTTTCTCTCTCTTCATTACCTCCGTCAATGCCAACACCACCATATCAAAGCCATCACATTTGACTACATCTACCCTAACATTGTCGTCAACCTCTTCACTACCACTGCCTCAGCCACGGTTTCTCTCTTCCTCTCTCTTATCTCTCCTCACTACCTCCGTCAATGCCGACATCACCACAACAAACCTCAATCAGATCTTAGATCAAATCTCTCTCTACCCTCTCTAATCACATCATCATTGATCTCTCATCCCGTCCTATGTTTCTCTAATCTTGAAATCTCATCCTACTTCCACGAATCCCTCAAATATTTAACCTCGATTTGGCTAGACCTGGGTTTTGTTCTGTACCGACTCGGTCGTCGATCTTATGCTGAAATCGAGAATGAGTCAGTACATGGTCTTCTACAACTTAAGAACTTTGATCTAAGCTAGTTAATGGAAGTCAAAAATCAGTTTGGCGAACGAGTTGTTCTTAAGACTGAGTACGGGAAGCTAATTGAAACAAGTCAAGCTATCAGCGGCGAAGATGTCGTAAAGACAGATTGCCGGCAGTGGAGGCGAAGAAAAATGAGTGAGTGAGTGGGTTTGTGAAGAGAAAGACATCTCCAGATATTTTTTGAGAGGTTGTTTGATCTTTTCAACAAATCAAATGTCCAGATCATGGATCATTTGATCTTTTCAACAATTTTTTTTTATTTATTTATTTATAACTGGACATGGAAATGTCCATATCCATGATATGATGTTGTTATTGATAATGATGATGTTAATGAAATAGATTGAAACAGATCTGTTCAAATTTTTAACAAATAATAGGTTTGATTTGTTCAAAATTTGAACAAATAGAGGCTTGGTATTGCAACAGATAAGGGTTGGTTGGCTTTGTATTTCAACAAGTAGAAAAAAAAATTAAAATGAACTAATAATAAAACTTAGACATATATTTGAACAGATAGGTATGTATGTATGTAATTTGCACAGACAAGAAGTAGACAGATAGAAAAAATTAGCTTGGTCAAAGAGAGGTGGAAAGGAATAGATAGAGAGAGAAAGTTTGAAATTGGTGTTAATTTGAACTAATAGAAAAAATAAGCTATAAAAATTCAACAGATAAAAAAATATTTCAATACGTTTAAAAAAATTGAACAAATCATCACCTTGGTAAGGGGAAATTTCAACAAATATCAAAAATTTGAACAGGTAGATATAAATTCGAACAGATAAAAAAAAAATTGAACAGATAGATATAAATTTGAATATATAGTCAACGAAAAGTCAACAGATAAGAAACAATCAACAAATAAATTAAGGAGTAAAATTGAAAACAAATGTCCTCCAAAATCAACAAAAGGATTTCTCACCAAACTATTTCACAAATGACGGACTTCTCACTAACAAAAAATATCTACTGGACCTAATGCCTTATACCTTCCTTATCTTGGATTTTTTAACAATTTACTCTAAAAATATTTAATCCCTAAAAAATAATTTTATTATGAAATTTTTGTGTCTAAAATTTTAATTTATTATAGTTTTAGGCTGGCCCGATGCATCTATCTTGCGTTGTTGGTCACCACGTCAACAACATCAACATAACAAACATGTTTATTTATTTATTTATTAATGAAATAGATTGAAACAGATCTGTTCAAATTTTTAACAAATAATAGGTTTGATTTGTTCAAAATTTGAACAAATAGAGGCTTGGTATTGCAACAGATAAGGGTTGGTTGGCTTTGTATTTCAACAAGTAGAAAAAAAAATTAAAATGAACTAATAATAAAATTTAGACATATATTTGAACAGATAGGTATGTATGTATATAATTTGCACAAACAAGAAATAGACAGATAGAAAAAATTAGCTTGGTCAAAGAGAGGTGGAAAGGAATAGATAGAGAGAGAAAGTTTGAAATTGGTGTTAATTTGAACTAATAGAAAAAATAAGCTATAAAAATTCAACAGATAAAAAAATATTTCAACACGTTTAAAAAAATTGAACAAATCATCACCTTGGTAAGAGGAAATTTCAACAAATATCAAAAATTTGAGCAGGTAGATATAAATTCGAACAGATAGAAAAAAAAATTAAACAGATAGATATAAATTTGAATATATAATCAACGAAAAGTCAACAAATAATAAACAGTCAACAAATAAATTAAGGAATAAAATTGAAAACAAATGTCCTCCAAAATCAACAAAATGATTTCTCACCAAACTATTTCACAAATGGTGGACTTCTCACTAATAAAAAATATCTACTGGACCATAATGCCTTATACCTTCCTTATCTTGGACTTTTTAACAATTTACTCTAAAAATATTTAATCTCTAAAAAATAATTTTATTATGAAATTTTTGTGTCTAAAATTTTAATTTATTATAGTGTTAGGCTGGCCCGATGCATCAATCTTGCATTGTTGGTCACCACGTCAACAACATCAACATAACAAACATGTTTATTTATTTGTTTATTTATTTTATAAAAAGAAAATGACAAAGTTATCAAAAGAAAGATTTGTTATTTGTCTATTGCCTGGCCGGTAAAAACCCTGTAAGTTCACAATTTCCTAATTAAACTTGTCATCATGTTTAATAGTTTCAGGCAAGAAAGTATTCTTCTTGTTGACTCAACATTGTGTCATCTTATAATCTTAAAAAAGGGATGATATATTTACTACTAGTCTAATGGTTTATAAGGAGAAGTGTGATTGGATGTTAAGAAACTTAAACTTAAAGCAAAAAACTAACTTGGTAGACTTAGCTTGAGGGTTGCCTCAAAGACTAGTAATACAGATTTTCACAAGTTTTTCCAACTTGCCAAACATTCATTCATCAAATATACACAGATATATATTGCATTCCAAGTCTGTACACAATAGAAGACTGGCCATGCCTTTATGTATCAATCATGATGACACATCCTCCTGATCATATATATGTCAAAATACACAAGAAGTCAATTCATAACCTCTCTCTCTCTCTCTCTCTCTCTCTCTCAAGCTGACCAAAGGTTAAGGTAAGAGCGATGGAGGGAAAGCAGCAGCAGCAGCAGCAGCAGAGGTTCCTACATGGAACACTTGAAGTTAGTATCTTCCATGCCACACCTTACACACCACCTTTCCCCTTAAATGTAAGTACCCCTCCAATCCAATACTAATTAATGTTTATGTTCAATGCAATGCATGGGTATATATATATATATATATATATCATTTTCTTTTCTCGAATGTAGTTAGAATAACTAAGGAAAGTGAAAAAAGAGAGAGGCAGCCAAATGCTATATTTTTCTCTATTTTCATATAAATTCATGATCCAAACACATTTTAGTGTAGGCAAATCTTTTCATCCTTGTAATTGTGTGAATGAATCATTTTTCGTATATTTTTCGTCCATTTTTTTTAGTAACAAATGTAATTTGATCATTCGGCAAAGCTTATCTGATTAATTTAATTTCTTACATAAATGATTTTTTTAGAATATCTTATAAAATGAATAATTCAAATTAATGAGAGTGTTTGTGATAGACCGACGGAGGCCTAACAATATGGTTTTGTTACCTTTGCCAACTGTAGACAATTCCATCCTATTTGATAAAAATGCATTTGCATGCGGGGAAAGCAAGAAAATAGTTGTCCACCAAAAGAACATTACCGAACTTTTCCCTTCCTCGGTTGGTTCTAATGGAATACCAGTTTTTAGGTAACGGGAAATGTTCAATTTTTACTCTGAATGAATAAAAATAAAACAGTGTATATAGTTTATAATTACATTGCTACCTCCCCAATTTTTTATAATTACATTGCTACCTATATATTTGTAATGTATTTTTGTTTTTGTTCCTAAAAAAGTATAATTGTGCCCCTTCTAGTTTATTTAATATTGTTTAAAAATTAATATTTACAAACCCTTAATTGGAAAAATATTGTGACTCACAATTTAAGTCTCATAATTTACTCATAATAACATGTCAAGTTATATATCAACTTTTAATTTGTTACAATTGCATAAGAACTTTGAATTCAAAAATGATTTTTTTTTTTTTTTTCTCTTCTCTCTTTTCTCTTATTTTTCTTGTTGGGGAAATTACACACATGGTCCTTTTAGTTTGTCCATTTTGTCAATTTGAGTATATATTTCCAACTACATCAATTTTATTCTTTAATTTTTCACATTATGTCAGTTTAATACAATTAGTAATGACTAATAATAAATTGAACATAAATTAAGAAGAAGAAAAAAATGATTGATTCACTCTCCTTAAATGATTAAGGGATTGACATATAATTTAAAATATGTAAACCATGTGTGTGATTTGCATATCAATAACAGTCATATTTTTTTATCATATTTAAAGTACTATGTGTATTGTCACCACTAAATTAATTGAACGAGTCTCAACTTATGTTAGTCTTCAATGTAGTGTTGAAACCTTAATGATAAGGTAAGTATAATATAAAAATGTAGTTATTGTAATACATTATTGTTTGCACTTTCATATTTTTGCTATTTTTTTTTTTTCTTTCCGTAAGAAATATATTTATGTTTTGTGTTCACTATTAATTTTAAAAAATTGGATTATACTTTGTTGTTAATTATTGAATTTTTGTCATTTCAAATTTGTGATTAACAAGTTCCTCCCTAAAATAATTTGTTGACTCCGCTACTGCCTAACGCACTTAACCCCAAACCTACAACACAACATTGACTTGACAATAATAATCATCTCTAGACTAAACCAAGTATTTTATTGAGCGATTTTATCAAATTACAAGTAAACATGTATACTTGCGCATTTATTTATAACACAAGAAAAAAGGGGGAAAAAATTACTAACAAGAATAAATTAGCAAGGATTATTACATTTTTTTTTTTTAAGAAATAAAAATTAACATTTAAAAGTACATTTTACAACATAATAGAGGAGACTTCATCATTAAATAAAATTTAAGGGAAGCAAATTATAATAATTTCTTTTAAAGAAATAGGAGTATATATTGAAATCTAGAGGGGCAAATTGAATAACTATTTAATAAATATATACTAAAACCTAAATTATGTAAGGTTAAGGAGGGGTGTGTGCCTCTCCTGATTAATGCAATAAGTACTAACCTAGCACGGTAATATAATACTCCCATACCATAAGTGTTGTAATTATAAGATGGGTAGAACTTAGCACGGTAATATAATACTCTCATACCATAAGTGCTGTAATTATAAGATGGGTAGAGTTGACTTAATTCACCAAGATTGGCTAGGAGAAAAACAAGATCAGCCTCATCCATCTCATTTTGTGCAACTTTATTAGCCGAAAACATCATGCATATATATCAAGATATACTTCGAAACTATTGAATAATTTTCGTCAGCACATATACTACTAACATCGAAGTAAAAGGTGGCTTGCTCACTATTTGTTGTCCTAATAGCACCTAATGAGTTTTGGAATCCAATTTTGCAGTGTATAATTGCAAATGGAAAGCTCACCTATGTGACTATCAAGATAGACAAGAAGAAGGTGGCAACAACCACCCTGGAAAGTGACCGTGTTTGGAACCAAACATTTCAAATCCTCTGTGCTCATCCATCTGATTCCACAATCACCCTTACAATGAAAACAAAGTGTTGTGTTTTGGGGAAAATACAAATCCAAGCCAATCAGATAATGAGTGAAGTAAGTTTGATGAATGGTTTCTTCCCACTCAACATGGAAAATGGAAAGCCAAACACACAACTCAGACTCAGGTTCATGTTATGGTTCAAACCGGCAGAGTTGGAACCGTCCTGGGGAAAATTACTAGCCAATGGCGGATTCGAGGGTATGAAGAATGCTACGTTTCCTCAGCGATCCAATTGCAGTGTTAGGTTGTATCAAGATGCTCACCATCGACCTACATTCCGGCCACCATTTGATCTCTGTGGGGGTCCAAAAAAACTTTGGGAGGATGTATACAAAGCCATTGAGAATGCAAAACATTTCATCTACATTGCAGGATGGTCTTTCAATCCAAAGATGGTGCTGGTAAATGGAACTATGTCACAAATAGTATTCTAGATAGCTGTATTAGTAGTCAAACCAATATGGTTGTGGTGTAACAGTATCGGAAGCATTGACCGATATGTATTATGAATCGGGTGACATGAATACAAATTTGTCAAAATTATCAGCAAAACCCCTAATTTTTTTTAAAAAAATTACTGAATCTTAGGGCCAGTACGAGTTCCAATCGGTTGAAAAATACATGATTTGGACCATCACCAATACATATTGGCTGATGAGCCTGTGAAATCAGTTCAAAATGATATATGGTCAAGTAACTGACTGGGAGGCTCAAAATTCTGATACCACACGTAGTGACCGATATTTAGAAATAGCAGTTTCTTCTATCCCTTGATTTTTCTAAGAAAATGAGGTGTTTTTGAGCAGGTTCGCGACCCTCAAACAGACATTCCACATGCCCGAGGAGTAAAGCTTGGAGAACTGTTGAAGAGAAAGGCAGAGGAAGGTGTAGCTGTGAGGCTTATGATTTGGGATGATGAAACTTCTTTACCAATCATCAATAACAAAGGACTGATGGGAACTAATGATGAAGATGCCTTTGCCTACTTCAAACACACCAAAGCAATCTGCAGATTGTGCCCCCGATTACACCACAAGTTCCCCACAATCTTCAGTCATCACCAGAAAACCATAGTTGTCGACACTCAAGGATACTCCTCTTCGTCAAGCAACCGTGAAATCATGAGCTTTGTTGGTGGATTAGACCTCTGTGATGGCCGATACGATACAGAGGAACACTCGCTCTTTCGAACGCTTAACACAGAATCACATTGCCACGACTTCTACCAAACAAGCCTTGCCGGAGCTAGCCTTCACAAAGGCGGGCCTAGAGAGCCGTGGCACGACACTCATGCTTGTATTGTTGGTGAAGCTGCTTGGGATGTTCTCAAGAATTTCGAGCAAAGGTGGACAAAGCAATGTGATCCTTCATTACTAGTCCCTATCAGCACCATCTCAGAACTCCGTCGTCAGTCCATTCCAACAAGCATTGCTAATGAAAGGGATTGGAAAGTTCAAGTCTTTCGATCAATCGACCACATGTCAGCAACCCAAATGCCGAAAAACTTTACTATTGAAAGGAGCATCCACGAAGCTTATGTCGAAGCAATAAGGTGTGCCGAGAGGTTCATATATATTGAAAACCAGTATTTTATAGGAGGATGCCATATGTGGGAAAAAGATCGAAATTGTGGGTGCAGAAACTTGATTCCAGTTGAGATTGCACTTAAGGTTGCAAATAAAATCAGAGCAAAAGAGAGGTTTGCAGTATATATTTTGATCCCAATGTGGCCAGAAGGAGTGCCAGAGAGTGAACCTGTTCAGGAAATATTGCATTGGACTAGAGAAACAATGGTGATGATGTATAAATTGATTGGAGAAGCAATAAGACAAAGTGGCAAAAAGGGACACCCGAGAGATTACTTGAACTTCTTTTGCATTGCTAACAGGGAAGAGAAGGGTAAAGGGGAGTTCATTCCTCCATATTGTCCTCATCCCACAACACAATATTTGAATGCTCAAAAGCACAGGAGATTCATGGTTTATGTTCATTCCAAGCTCATGATTGGTAAGAATATACTCACCTGAATGCTCTGTTTCCAGCTTCCAGTTTAAAGAAAGACATGAATTTAACTGTTCTATTTTTGATCTTTTGCCTTTCTGTTCTTCAGTGGACGACACATACATGTTGATAGGATCTGCAAATGTGAACCAACGATCCATGGATGGACAACGAGACACTGAAATTGCAATAGGATGCTACCAATTCAGAGATGGTGAGAAACAGATTGATCGCGGAGATATTCATGCATACCGGATGTCACTGTGGTATGAGCATACGGGAGGAAGAGCTGAAAAACTGTTCCAAGAGCCTCACGCCTTGGAATGCGTTCGAAGAGTACGTTCCATAGGAGATCAGATGTGGAAAATTTACCTTGGAGAGGAAGTTATAGATATGGAAGGTGTCCATTTAGTTGCTTACCCTGTCAGTGTGACCAGTGATGGTTCTGTTGAAGGTCCAGCGGAGGGTAGCGGTTACTTTCCGGATACAAAAGCTCTAGTTAAGGGGAAGCGATCGAAATTTCTACCTCCTGTAGTCACCACATAGTTACAAAGATTGTTTAGTTTCAAATTCATACACATTATCAGAGAGCATTTACATTTGACACCTTTTATCTGCATGGGACGCCTAACAAATCACAAGATTGTGCATACTGCTGTTCTTGTATACACGTAATTAAAAAGACAAATGTAAGTCATCCATTCTCAATTATATTCCTCCAAATCTTTTTTCCACAGTACATCCATAATAAGAGTAACAAAGAATTCTAAAAGAAAATGACTGAAGCCAACTTCCTTTGCGAAGAAAATCTGAATATTTTACAAGAAACTATTTTGAGAAGAATAAATTAAAAATTAAAAAGCTTTACTACACGACCACGAAGAGCACATCACAGGCAGAGCAAATATAAATTACACAGAAAAGTAGCAGATGGATGAACAAGGTGAGGTCATCATGAAGTAGATTCAGCAGAATTGCCATCCGACGCTGGATATATTCCAGGAAGGTTGAGACCTCCATCACCCATGGTGAGTGAACAACCATCATGACAAGTGCTGTTACTAGTTGCGATTGCATCCTTTAGTACATCCTTTAGTTTTTGTAACTGCATATTGTTTTGAGAACATTTGTCAATAAAATATATAACTAAATAAAAGAATGGAAACATATAAGTATGAGTCCGATGAGAGTTTCTTCCCCCTTCAGTCATCACCAGAAAACCATAGTTGTCGACACTCAAGGACACTCCTCTTCGTCAAGCAACCGTGAAATCATGAGCTTTGTTGGTGGATTAAATCATGAAATTTTTGTCCAGAAAATCAACTTAATATATGGCACTATTAATTGGTCTTGTAGATTCCAATATCCAATAAATGTGACAAAATAATGATCTTTAGTACTAGGGTGGCACTTGTAAAATTCAATGTATAAAAAAAAGTAGAGAATTGTATTATTGATTATATTGAATATGTTTACAATGATTCCTATATATAGAAGAGTAGAGTAGGTAGGTGTGTAGTAGGTGGAGTAGGTGGTAGTGGTAGTAGGTGGAGTAGGTGGAATTTTAACAGCCCCCTCAAACTCAAGGAGGATAAGCAGAAACCAACTTGAGTTTGGAGAGAGTAACAAATAGGAAAACAAAAGGACAATAAAATAAAATAAGATAGGAGACACTGTATGGTTGTGTCAAATCGTTGTGGAAGACACGGAATGGTCGTGTCACACCGTTGGACAAGACACTGTAGGTCGTGTCGGACCGTTGTAGCAGATAATGTGTAGACAGTTCACGAGGTCACACCGGACCGATGTAGAAGCTAACCGGAATCAATGTCGGGACAGTTTATGGGGTCATGCCGGACCGTTGGAAAAGCTAACCGGAATCAATGTCGGGACAGTTTTATGGGGTCATGCCGGACTGCTGTAAAAGCTAACCGGAATCAATGTCGGGACAGTTTACAGAGTCTTGTCGGACCCCTAAAAAGTCGCACCCTCAAAAGGTGTGCCCAATCTGTCAAAAGGCGTGCCATCAAAAGGCGTACCCAATCCATAAAAAGGTGTGCCGGACATTATGGCGAAGCGCGTGACTACCTTGGCTTGCGCGCCCATGTTGTCGGCTAGCGCCGAGCGGCACACGATGCGCGTATCTGCCTTGGCTATTTAACCAAGATGGAGGCTGAGGCTGAGGCAGAAAACTGCTAAAAACCTCTGAAAAGCTCTTCGTTTTCTGAGAGAGATACTCTGTAACACTCTGTTGCCTAGAAAATGGCATCTTCTTCCCGTGGTCTGCTCACTCTCTTTCCCGACCTCAATGAGTCCACAAGAGAGATAACTGGTGCGGTTGCCTTTGAACCTCAACCAAGCGCCTCTGGTTTTGCTCCGTTAAACTTTCCTATGCGGTCTGTGGAGCAAAGAATGGCAGTGCAATCGGATGTTGAGGCCAATCAGTATACATTGAAGTCATGTGTGGAGACCATGACTGCGGTCACAAACTTGTCGCACCGGCTGCAGAGTAGGACAAATGAGGTGTAGCAGTTAAACGCCCAACTGGCTCTGCTCCAGCGCATGTATAAGGATGCGCGAGCAGAGATATGTGTGTTAAAAGCGGAAAACAAGGAGCTAAAGCGGAAGGCCACCGTGATGTTCCGATTTGGAGGTCCGCCATATGCTGCAGTGGAGGAGCAGAGGGGAGTGAACGTGCTCGGCGGCGTGGGAAACACGGAGGCAGCACCGGCAAGGGCCGACCAGGACGGAAGCAAGAAGAAGAGACAGGCGGCAGAGTAGAGAAGGGAAAATCCCACTGTGGGTGTGGTTGTTTTGTTGTGGTTTGGTTGTTTGTTTGTTTGAAAAAAAAACCCCGCCTGTGAATGTGGTTGTTTGTTGTTTTGTGTTGTGGTTGTTGTTGTTTTTGTTGTTTTTTTTTTTTTTTTTGTGTAGAATGGTGAGCGGGGTGAATCCCTGATATGAATAAAGCAAGTGTGTTGTGCAAACTCGAATGGTAGGTGTGGTAATGTAGAAAAATCAACTGGAATGAAAGTAATTTTGTGTGTGTGCTTTTTTTTTTGAAAATAATAATAATAATAATATATAAAATGAAGTGTTGGAATCCAGTGGAATCAATGAAGGCTAGTATAATATATTTTAGTGGGGAAAAGAATGATGGATATGTTGATTATATAATAAAATAAAAGTGGGTATTTAAAAAAGATTAAAAGTGATTTGAAAAAAAAATAAATAAAAATAATTGATTTTGAAATCAAGCGGAGGAGAGAGAGGAACAAACCCATGTGATAAAATGGAGAGAGAAGGTGAGAGTAGAGGGCATAATAATGAGTCTGGGGTCTGTTGGGTCCATGAGAGGAAGTGATAATAAAAACAATGGATTTATCTGTGTATGATAGGAGAGAGAGAGTGGGTATTCAATTCTGCCAAGAGGAAGAGAGAGAGAGATTGGGTGTCTTGATTGCCTCAGATCAGTTCATGGATTAAAATGAGGTCCAGTGGAATTGCAGCCGTTGGTGGTATCACCGAGGGAGTGAGAGGGGCCGCGGATGGAGAGAGAGTTGAGGGCGACTTCGAGCTTTAAGAGTTGTGAGAGAAGAGAAACTAGATGGGATTGTGATGTTTGCAGATGATAGTAATATGCATAGTATGGAGCTTTTTTTTGATGAGATCCAAAAGGTGAAATTCATCAAAGAATGCATCAATCCAGTAAGATGAAGAGTCTGGAAAGTTCGAACATAGGTGGGAGTGATAGCAATCACAGTTCTAGGGTCTTTGATTCCGTACTGAAGCCTCTGTTCTCTCTGAACCCTCTCGATTATCCGATGAGCTTTCATGACCTCCACTGGATTTGGATGCGGCCATGGCCGAATCAAGATCCCGTGCCTCCCAACCACTACTCTGCTACTCGAAACCACGACGGCTCCATTCGGCGGCGACGAAGATGATGAAGAAGAAGAGAGTGTGGTCTGAAGAGTTAGGGCATCGGCGGAGAAGAGATTGTTGTTGCTGGTAGTGGTGGTGGTGGAGAAGAGGAGGAAGAAGATGAGGCGAGAGAATCTGAACCCTAGGACGGGGCTGATGAGACAGCAGAGGCCGTGGAGGACTAGCCAGAATACCGCTGCCGGAGATTTGGATCCGCCGTCGATTGAAGGCTCCAACGGCGGTGATCCTCTGAAGCTGTTGCTCCGGCGGTTGGTGTAGCTCTGCTGGAGCGCCGACAGCTTCATTTTCTTTCTCTCCTCCGACAAAGGGTTGAGGAATCCGCGCAGATGGTGTGAACTGGTTTGAAATTGGGATCTGAATTGGGTGTTTGGAGAGAGAGAAAGTGAGGTGCCGAGAGGGAGAAGGAGGTTTGAATGGGTTGAGATCCGGCGGGCGGTCAAGGCAAGGTTGTCGCCCGTCGGAAGGCGAAGAACACCAAGATCTTTAAACTATAGCTCTGATACCATGTAAAATTCAATAGCTCTGATATCATGTAAAATTCAATGTATAAAAAGAAAGTAGAGAATTGTATTATTGATTATATTGAATATGTTTACAATGATTCCTATATATAGAAGAGTAGAGTAGATAGGTGTGTAATAGGTGAAGTAGGTGGTAGTGGTAGTAGGTGGAATTTTAACAGCACTAGTGTTGCCAGAAAACGTTAATACCTTAACGATTTACATTTTGGAACACATATTCCAAAATATAGTACACTTTAGTTCCATAATGGTGAATTTAGCAATCCAAAGCTATCCTAATAATTTTTCCACATTAAACAATTTTCCTTTAAGAAAAAAATCAAATATAATGAACCAAAATCTAGAAAAAAAAAAAAAAAAAGAGTTTTAGGATGACAAAATGCAAAACACAAGCCGTACCACATTCTTGTTCCCGTTTCTCATACCATAATGACCCGCATTCCATGTAACATAGGGCGAAAACATAGCCATCGCACCAATACTAATTACTAAGAGGGTCCAAAGTTTGTAAACAATGATAAAAAATGGTGTTCACACATTAGCATAACAGTTCCTGTCTATTTATCTAGATGCTTTCTTACAAACTTATTTTCCAGAAAGTTTCTAAACAAAATGTATATTTAACAATCTGGTCATATATTATACTTTCATTTCAACTTTTTTTTTAAATATTTACAAATTACAAATGGAAAGAAAACTTCTTGATTTTTTTCGTTTCCCCCATCAGTTAAGTCAACATGTAAGCTGAGGAGCAACTCAAAGTTGGATTTGAATACATCCAGCTCGAGCTATTCATGCCTCAACTCTTTTTTAATATAACAATTTAGTTTCGTTCCAATCTATAGAGAAATATATGAACTTTTCTTATTCTGGTCATATTTATAAACTTGGTGCGACTTTTACAGACAAATCAAGGAGCACTTAAAAGGAAATGGTTAGACTGGAAATAATCCTACCTTTGCAAGTGAGCAGGGAAAGGATTCTATTAGCCCATCTGCTCCCCGATAGAATTGGAAATATGGAAGCACCTTTACATTCAAGCTTTTGCACAGATTCTTGTTCTCATCATAGTTCACCTTAAGAAATAAAATTTGTGGGTGCTCTTCAGCAATTTTGCACAGCTGGAGGTGTCCAGTAGAAGACACATCAGGACAGGAGAAAAAGACATGCATCCCACAAGAAATTACATCCAAGTAAAATTAAACCACAACATCAGGCAGACAGAAACTAACAATATTTCCAATTATAGGAAATCGGACCCATCAATACCAATCTTGTCAATACCAATCTTCAAATAAGTTATAAGACATGAAGGCCATGTTTGATTCACAACACTAATAGTGAGGTATTAATAATCCTATCAAATTAGTGTGGTATTAACTATCCCACCCCTACCTCATTATTAATAATCCTACAAATTTGTTGGATTAATTATCCATTGGATTAATAATCCTAAACCAAAATGTCAAAACAAACATAGGATAATTGGGCCCACGGATTAATAATCCCAATCCCATGCTTTAGTCCTTCCAATCAAACATGCCCGAAATTCATTATTTATCAACAAAAAAAAAATCATGAAATTCATCATTCGCAACAATAAACAAGAGTAATCTTAGTATTAATTCCAATAGGGTAATTTCTTATAAAATAATATTATGGTCAGCCACACCATGTAATACAATATTTGGGGTGGTCAATAAACAAGTCAGATGGGAGATTGGCAAGACGAGTGTATATAATTAAAATGAATACATTCATGCAAAACTATTGGCAACACCACTTGTGGAAAAGATGAGAAACAATCGTCTAAGAGAGTTCACTCATTTTCAATAAACAAACAACTGAACCACAAGTGTTTTAGCTCAAGGTGATGTAGTTACAAGGGCAACAACAGGCAGGACAAAAAGATCTAGGGTAAAAATATTCAATACGACTTAATGGCCCGTGTGTTTGGTGCAATAAATTTGCCAGGAGAGAGCCAAAGGACCAAGAAGGATTTATGTGTTGCAATGAGTAGTTTTCTTCTTTCATAATGAAAATGCAAAAATAGGTATGCTACCAACTGCTTTATACAGATGGTTGTATTCTCCTTTCTCAGTATCTATGGGGATGTTTTGGGGAGGAACTGAGCAGGGGCAGCCCATCCACTAGGCCAATAAGGCAACCGCCTAGTGTATTATTTATTTGGATCCAAAAAAAGTAAGTCAAGTGTATCATATGATTAAACCAAAAAAAATAAAAATAAAAAAGTCAAGTGTCTTGTTTTCTTTTTTGAACTAGTACTAATTAAAAAAGTCCATGTACTAGAATCTTTTAAATAAAATAAAAGAAAAAAATAACATCTTTTTGTTGACTTTTAAATGAATGTGGTTTTGGTCATTCTCAGATTGAAACATGTGTTGAAGCTTCAAAATTAAAGAAATAAATAGTTCAACGAAAATACTAATGGTGAGATAACATAATCTACTGAAACATCATTTAGAATTAATTATTTATTATATATAGTAGATCAAGGTATTTCTTTAATGGAGAGTAGGTTTGAACGATTTCAATAGTATGAGAAAAATGATGATAGTTTTGAAAAAGTCTTAATCTTGAGGTGACATTTTTGGTGATATTGATGGTTTAAAATATTTGAAGAACTTTAAATTTAAAAAGAATTTATACAAACAGGGGAAAAAAAAAAAAAACTCCAATTGACATATTAAATTACAGTACAATTTGAAAAACTAAGTAATGATAATTTAAATGTCAATAATTTGTCAATATAGATCAAGACATCTTGCCTAGAGCTCCAGAAACAATTAGACCGCCCTTGGAAATGAGTTAGATTTAATAATAGGCACATTTAACCAAAGATATCAACTCACCTTGGGAAATAATGCTCGACAAGAGGCACACGATGTACCATAAAATTCAACAATGACAAGTCTGTCTTTTGCTTGACTTAACGCAGATAGAAATTCTTGTGTGGAATGAATATCAATCATATTTGGGCTTACATTCTTCTCCCACCATTTTGGCTGATCAGCATCAGCTGCAGATGCATGTACCTGAAGTAAAACATCCAATACTGAAAAAGTTTGCTACCCATAAAAGCTAGATTAATAACAATGAAAAGAAGATCAAAGAAACAAATTAAGATATGAGAGATAGCATTTAGCACCCAATTATTTGTTTTAAAGAAGCTAATAGAAAATTATTTCTCCTAGTTATTTTAAAAGAATTTTAAAAAAATATTATTTACTAATACTACATTGGGTTCTCTCGACAATTCTGCAGGATTAGATAGCAAATGGGCTTTACATTCTGCTGAGAACAAGGTCCAAGATAAAGCACACCATAATCTATAAATCTTCCCATAATTTATTATATTAATTTTCCTAAAAAATAGTCTATCTTAATTTATACCACTCTAGCTGGTAGACCATATTCAGAATGACAAATGGTGAATTCATGTTTTCATTCGATTTGGAGTTATTTAACTTATTTGTTCGGATACAAGTGTAATGGCCAGAAATTTGTGTTGACAAAATAAATTCTTAATGCAGGGAAGAACTTATTCCTTTGCATGATTGGATTGCAGAATTATGGCTGCAACCCAATTTATCTCTGCCAAAGATTAATTAATTCTATCCAAAGAATCATTCAAGTGCTTGCACAAATACCAAATCAGCATATAAGATTGAACTCTACAATTGGAGAGAAATATAGCAGGGATCCAAGTTAGCTAGCTTCAACAATTTAGCAAAACCATAGTTAGTCACAAAGCATAGTGGCATTATAATTGGCAAAGAGCAACAACAACTAGCTATAAATCTAATCAGTAAAGTTTGAAAGAAGTCACAAAGTCATCAAAACCACCCACAAACAAAGACAATGGGAGATTCACTATAACAGGCAAAGAACCAAACACATGGTGAAAAAAGAAAATAATAAACAAGCAAATCAAACAAAATGGGTATTGGAGAAAACAGCTAATAAGAGGGAATGCAATGCAATGCAAATACCTTACTTTTTCACATTCATTTCTCTCTCTTACTTTTCCAGAACTCGATTGTTGAGCCTCTCACTCTAGAACCTTGCCTTCTCTCTAGGTATTGATCTAGTTAGAGTTGTTTCCTCACCTTTGGCCTTTACAAAAGTTGTGTTGATCGTCAAGGGCTACGTTTTGATCCGAAAATATCGAGTTTTGGAGCATGTTGAGTTTCTTCATCTTCTTCCCTTGAACTCCGAATTTGAGGTAGGGATTCCTACTCACTCTTATGGTCTTTAACATAGATTTTTGGCGATTTTGATAAAGTGTTGAAATTGGGAAATTTTGGGACTTAGGGTTTCAAAATGTCAAAGAGGGTTTTATTATTTTGGTTCTAAAATGAGTATTTTGGGTTTCAAAATAATGTTATTGATGTTGGTTGTTGGTATATGGACCATTGGGTCAATATTGAAAAATGGGGGAAAAAGCCCTAATTCGTCGTGTAAATTAATTTGTATAATTAATTTGGGAAAAATGTTGGTATTTGGAATGGAGTTGGAAATAATGAAATTGACTTATTATATGGTAGAATAGTGGAGTTGGATTTGTTAATCGCTCACTTTTGAAAACATGATATTTTATCTGTTGGAGCTTTTATTATCTGTTTAGAAATAATTGCTTGGGCTACCGGTGGAGGGTAGTTTTGATTGTTGTAGACTGTTAGTAATGGGCGCCCATGTGGCATGACCATTTGAATTTGAATTTGGAATCCTATCCAAATAGGTTTTGAAATTGAATTCAAACCTATTTAGGATAACCACTCAAGATACAGATATTATCAGTTTTAACTGATATGGATAGATATAATAATATATTATATATCTGATATATGGTTATGGGTAACCAAGTGAGAAACAACGTATGATCTGTTTCTAACCATATACTGACTCTCTCCCAAAAACAGCGATCAAGTCATTTGCACTGTGATTTGTGTGGGTGATATTCAATCTGTGATATCACTTCACTGCTGGGTTGGTTTATCAGACTCTGGAAGCACGTGATTTATCCACGAGGTTCTATCATCAAAGAGGTATGATCTAAACATTTTATCCGCTGCATGTTTTTGGGTTTTGATTTACACACACCATAATCTATAAATCTTCCCATAATTTATTATATTAATTTTCCTAAAAAGTAGTCTATCTTAATTTATACCACTCTAGCTGGTAAACCATATTCAGAATGACAAATGGTGAAATTCATGTTTTCATTCGATTTGGAGTTATTTAACTTATTTGTTCAGATACGAGTGTAATGGCCAGAAATTTGTGTTGACAAAATAAATTCTTAATGCAGGGAAGAACTTATTCCTTTGCATGATTGGATTGCAGAATTATGGCTGCAAACCAATTTATCTCTGCCAAAGATTAATTAATTCTATCCAAAGAATCATTCAAGTGCTTGCACAAATACCAAATCAGCATATAAGATTGAACTCTACAATTGGAGAGAAATATAGCAGGGATCCAAGTTAGCTAGCTTCAACAATTTAGCAAAACCATAGTTAGTCACAAAGCATAGTGGCATTATAACTGGCAAAGAAACACAATTAGCAACAACAACTAGCTATAACTCTAATCAGTAAAGTTTGAAAGAAGTTACAAAGTCATCAAAACCACCCACAAAGACAATGGGAGATTCACTATAACAGGCAAAGAAACAAACATATGGTGGTGAAAAAGGAAAATCAATAAACAAGCAAATCAAACAAAATGGGTATTGGAGAAAACAGCTAATAAGAGGGAATGCAATGCAATGCAAATACCTTGAAAGAAACAGAACTTCTTGGGTGAATGGAAAGAAGATTATGGGCAATAAACCCTGTATTATTAGAAAAAGAAATCTTGAAGTTGGGTGGCTTTGAAACACTCCATTTTGTTGAATTTAACGAGGATGATGAGGTTGATGAGAATAGCAGGGGACAACTGACGTGAGGATGTGAATGAAGAAGAGACAACCCGAAACAATCAGCCCATTTATGAGAGAATACAGAGCTTCCTTGCATTTTTGGGTTGGCTCACACACACACATTCTCTCTCTCTCTCTCTCTCTCTCTCTCTCTCTCTCTCTCGCTCGCTCGATCAAACTATATATATTGGCTAGTTTACAAGTGTCCCTTTCACGCCCCTACTTTCTCTCCCTCTCGAGAGGGGTTATTCTCTTCGAGTGATATTGACTTGTGGCATGTCTAGGGAGGTCGTGATTGGAGAAATGGTTGAGACCATACGAGGCTGTATTCGGTCATACGTTGTGCTAGGCTTGGACAATCGTCACGTCAGGCTGGTCGAGCCCGCACTACATAATAAAAGATTTCATGTTTGTTTAAGTTGGGGTCAATTCTAATATCAGACCTCTATCCCTGTCTAAGTGCACTTCAAAAAATAATTTTAAATTCATTCTTTGAGTTTTATGTTAAAAAAATTAAAATATTTTATAATTAAATTTAATCACATTATATTTCTTAAATAAATATATTCACATCATTATAAATTTTAAAAAAAATTATATATAAATTAACATTTTTTTAAATAAATTCAATCACACCACTACAACTGTGAATTTTAATAAAATCAACAAAAATAAAGTTTAGATCCCAATAAAAATATGTTTTTTAATATATATAATTAATTAATTAATTAATTTAAAGTGAGTCATGTTGGGTCTGGTTGATCGGGTTGAAAATATAAATCACAAACCTAACTCATTAATATTTGAGGTTAAAAATATTGGCTCACCCTAACCCTATGAGTTAAAACAACCCTCCCAAGTTCTAAAAAATAAGGTTGGGCTTGACAGGCTAACGGGTCGATGTCCACCCCTACACGGTGCCCTGAAATACCCAACATGATTTTGGAAAAATTATAAATATTTATAAATTCATAAAAAATTTATAACTTTGATTATTAAAATTGATAAAGTTTATTATTAATTTGAATTTTTTTTTTTTAAACGGATCTACTGAATTGCAATTTTCCTTAATTCTTTTACTCTCTTCATAGACATGAAAAATAATAAGTAAATTACAATGGTACGCGAGTATATCTTTAGAGATAATACAGTAAGTCTCACAAGTTTGACATAATTATGTTATTATTAAATAATGTTTGATTCATTAAATATAATGAAATAGAATGATTATTACATTAAAATAAAATACTCATTCCTATGTTTATTTGATTTAAAAAATACATTCCAAATAAAATTATCATTTACCAAACTATTCTATTCCATTTTATCTCATTCTAATGAAACAAACATAACATTTGCCCAATTTAGTATTACTTATAAGTTCCCTTTTATAACATAACCTTTTAGATTATTAGCTTAAAAGATTTAAAATAAGAAAAATGATTCATTCACATAATTTTTTGCTCTCTAAATCCTTCCAAATGATGTGGCAAACAAAATTTGAAAAGTTAACTCACACTTTAATATTCTCTCAAAACTCTCCTTATATACATTATATCTTGTCACCTCATTCAACGAATTGTGAAAAATCTCATTCAACGAATTGTGAAAAATAGAAATTGTGAAAAATAGAAATTGTGCGAATGTAGCAATGTTGTTACATAACTTTTTGTTGTGCAAATACCCAAGATACCCTCAAGTTATAATTAAGGTCAAAGAGATAAAGCTCTTTTGTCCATACATATTTAAAGATTTTAAATAAGTTTCAAAAGTTACAAATTGGAACTTAAGAAAATCTCACTTTTCAGTGCTAAATACTCTGAAAATGTCAAATACACTATAATTTAAAATTGCAATCGAACAGCATTGATCAACTTTGTTTAATCAAATAAATAAAATTATTCTTTCCTAATCCCTCTGTTTTAAATTATTTTTGACAAGCAGCCCTTTATTATCGTATCAACCAGTCATTTTAAAAAAAATTATTCAAAAAATAATGCTACAAATTACTTAATCTTTTCACCCTCTAATATCACCAAAATATTTGGCAAGTTATTATTTACTACTATCGTTAATGGCTTAATAATTATCTTCAAACGAAAAACCAATCATGTATATCCATGTAGAACATGATGCAAAATAGTGACAAAAAAATAAATAATATATAACATTTGTCTTAATAACATGCAATTCAACATCACAATCCATTATACGTTCAATATTTCAATTTTTCATTTTAAAGTTATCTGAAACAAAAATAATAAAGAGTTCCTAGGCACCCATAACTCACAAACCATTAGCTCCTGTACTGCTCTCCTTATCTTGTACTGCTCTTTGTATAATGAGAATGGAATGAAGTTCCTAGGGACCTATAACCCTTTTTGCTCCTGTACTGCTCTTTTATCTTGTTTTATTTCTTTATATGATGAGAATGGAATGAAGTTCTTTTTTTTGCCCAATGAAGAAAAAAATAAGAGTCCTTTCCCTTGTAGCCACTCAACCCAAACAAAAAGGGTTGCAAAGAAGGCATATTGATTAAATTTAACAGACTCTAATCTAATCAGCAAAGAAATGTTCTTCATGACCTTATTTCCCAATTGAAGTGAAGAGAAGGGGAAGGTATAAAGTGTACAACTTAGCTTAATTGATTCCCATATTCTAGTGTAAACAAGAACAAATTCTTTACCATGGAAAAAGAAAATTATCAAACACTGCTGAAACTGACAGTCTTCCATCCATCAAACAGTTCATTTTAAAATGCGAAAGAAAAAGAATGAAGAGCTATAAGATAGAATGCAACAACATATTCCTCCATGGTGCATACATGAGCAAGAAAGCACGTATGCCCGCAATATCCAATCCAGCTGATCAGCAGCAGCAAGCATTATTGAGAAAATAGTATGGAAATCTCCTCATCTAATCAGTCGGCAGTAGAGGGTTCAAAGTAATATCAATGGACAGAAAAATGTCTCTTGGCACTATAAACATGTTTTAGATTCTGAAATTAAGAATGAATAAAAGTGATATAAAAAACAAAAAGGTTTTTTCCCCCTAAGTGGAATAGAGGAAGAGAGAGAAGGGAAAACCATTAGAAATATATACCTTTTAGTTATGCAGAGGGCTGTGAAATGGTTGTCAGAGGAGATGCAAAATGTACATCGATAACCTAAACTGAGCATCTTCCATATGAGACCTTTTGAGCTATGAAAATGAATAGGTGTCGGGGCAAGTTTTCAGCTTGCCTCTCCAACAGCCTAAATAATCTCTTCAATGGCTATTTTGACCAATATAAATTCCACTTGCTCTAATTCTTGCAAAATCTCAAGCCAATGGAAACCCTCCCATGACAACCACCGGTTTAATTCAATCCATCCCAGTGGTTTCACAAATCTTACCTTGTTCAATTCTTGATTGAAGGGATAGTGGCTAAACCCCTATTCACCTTTCATGAATCTCAACTCATCAATCCCTTGAGACAGCAGATACCAGCTTTCGACCTGCAAAATATCGGAAAAAAAGTTCAGAGAAATGATTCACAAGAAATTATCACTCTTCTGAAATAAATAAACTAAAAATTATGACAAACATGGAAAAAAAAAAGAATATTGAGAATTTCATACAGTTACTCAAGCGGTTATAGAGAAAATAAAAACAAGCACAATGCAGCTGACTCAGTGGAACTACATGCCTCTGCAGCCTCTTCCATTTCCAATATCACATTAACTGAACCTCAATAAAAGAAAGGGTTTACATCAATTAACCATGTTAGCAGACCAGACTGACTTCTTCAGTACTGCATGTTCTGTTAAAAGAAGCCACTGAGAACTCTTAACCATTTCAGCACTCCAGGGCACTCATTCAAACAAAACTAAAATCTGTATCTCCTTCACTCATAACTTTCACTCTTTGACTTTCCGGAAAATTTCAAGAAAGTTTGACATTAATTAGGCATCTTGGCAAGACTACGATAATACAAATGGTAAATGGGAGGAAATTATCTGTTGCAGCCTAGAGCTTTAATTCCTTCACATTTTTCTCCCCATATAACTCCATAGTGAATGATATAGAACTAATTGTACCTCGATATACCAATAAAACAGTGTAACCAATCAACATGTAGAACCTTAATATGATGGGGCAAAAGCAAACAACCTTAATCCGGAGCCACTAAGTTTTAATCAAAAGATGAGAACTCCAAGTCTCCAACCTTCAAACTGACTTTAAACATATCGGCCATAGCAAAGCGAATAAGCCAACTAGAAGTTCAAATTTGGGTTCCACCTGTCAATCTACTCAGGTGTGTGAGGCAGGCATCTTATGAAATAAGTATTTTCTCTTGTCCAAGTAACTTATTTAATGTAAAAGATGTAACATATAAAGATTAAGGAAATTGATCTCATTTAACCATTTCATTCAAGGCTAACAATTATATTCATGTTGCAACCAAAACAAACTTCATCCTTTTTCCCAAAACTAGAGTTTCCCCGTACTCACTGAAACAATAAGAACCATTATTAACTTCTGTGATACCTAACAACTGTGATATACATGCCCCCACCAGTGTTACTGTACATGGCTTCTGATATCCCACAGCATGGTTGTCTCTCTACAAAAATCGCTCCAAATATAACAAATAGTAAAAGATGGTGAAACATTAGATGAGGCATTTAAAGTACACAAGTCCTACATCAATAGCCACATCAACAGGTTTTTATGAACACTATTATTCCCTTCCAATTTTTCTCTCATTAAACACACCTTACTCAGCAACAATCACACGTATCTCTGATTATCTAAACATTCAAAAGTTGCACGACTCAGATACAACATTCTAAAGGACTGCACTATCCTCCATTACAGGGCCTATCTTTATCAGCTCTATTATGAAACTAACTACTGTATGAACTCTCACTAAAGAAATAAGGTTATAAGAGTTTGTCAAAAAAATAAATAAATAGAAAGGAAGAAAGAAACCCCCATAAACCAGCTTAGAGTGGGTAAATGTAATTGTTGATGATACTAAGTCATCAAAACAATTTGATTATTGAGGGTACAGAGTGAGAACATATCAGTACAAAGTCTAAATTGAAAAAACAAACATTAAAATCCACAAATTTGTAGCAATCCTCAGATATGAAGCACGGACACCTCTCCACGGGTCATGTACCAGTGTTCGACACGTGTCAGATACAGACATGTGCCAGACATGCTGGAGGGAGTTGGACACGTTGGGAACGCTTGGGACATGCTGAGGACACAGGAAACACAAGAATAGCATACCCAAGATTGATGAATTTGATGAGATTAAATATTTAAATAAAATAAATATATAATATTACAAAATACGACATATAATGAATATATAAAACCATATGTTTCGCATGTGACCCCGGCGTGTCATATCCTGCATTTTTTGAAAATTTGCATGTCCGTGTCATGTCATGTGTCCGCATCCATGTCCGTTCTTAAATTCTCAAGTAAATGGAGAGAGAGAGAGAGAGAGAGAGGAATTTTAACATTAAATAAATGACTGCTAGTTTTTATCAATACTTGAATGAAGTCCTAGAATAAACCAAATTCTACAAATTTTCAACTACAAATTCTACTTTAAAACACACAGATGACATTCAGAACCAATTAAATCCACAGAACAGACACTGGAGTACTTACCTATGAAGTTTTCGTCACATGGCACGTGCACCATCCTTTCATCAGATATTCCAGGCTCATTTTAATGCATAAAGGAGCAAACTTTCTACCCTGAGGGTGTCCAGAATATCTCGAACATTGAAAGATATTGCAGAACTACACATAAGATGAACAATTAAAAAGACTACACTGAAACAAGAGATGCAGGGATACTGCATAACAAGAGTCTGAACAGTGCAGTTTGGTCAGATATGACAAGGTGAACTCTTCAAGTTTTGGGGATGCCATTATTTGATCTCTGTACATATTAATTATTGCATGAAAGCTCATCCAGGGGCTGTCCCAGAAATGGGTTGCACACTACATGCGTATATTGTTAATGTGTGGCTCCAACCAATTCCACAAATGAAGAAAAAGAGCAAGCTTATCGGTCAAGCTTCTGACAAATTAAACAATATATCATACATCCCAAAGGTCCACTCATGCAATACACTAGCTATTTCAAGGATTCCAATAACTAATTCAAATGGTGTACTTAACTAAATTGACTTCTATTGGTCTTACTACTACACAAAAGGAGTCTCCTATCTCATCCAAACTTCTACACATTTTTTACACCTCCAAAGTTGGCAACAACAGCACCATTCACTCTTCAACTGCCACCTCAAAGCAACAGGAAGTATGCTAGTTGATAATGAGATATTCTACATGCATTAATGCAACTCCATTGTTCTAATGTACAAAAAGTGCTCACTGTACCACTTTCAAAATCAATTAGAATCAGGTGCAGTCTCCTAACTTAAGATGCTGCTACTGTACCGCTGATCAAACAGAAACCATGTAGAAAACTATTGCAGACATCCTTTCATGGAAATTTCAAACAACTATAGAAGCCTGACACTTGAAAACTCCACTAGACAGCTTTTGACTTGTCAAGACTGCAGTTAATTATGCTAAGGAGACCAATTTTATCATAGTACTAGGACAAAGGTTCTCATTCTCAAATGTCTACTCTTCCTGTCTTCATGATAAGACTGCATGGTGTCTATACCTCCTAGACCACATGTTTCCACTACACATAATGATATTAAGTTGAATACTTAAAAATGTCAACACTTCGAGAGGAAGAAATATTTCAAGACATCTGATCCTAAAGGTAAAAGGTTTCTCCCATCCGTATTCAAGAATTAATATCAATGGCCTTCTCACATGTACCCTATTGTTTTCTCATAATTTCAAATCAGAAGGCAAAACCCTAAAATTTGAAACGTGCTCATTCATAGAACTGAATTTCCATATCAACTAATCACAACACACCTCATACACTAGCATACGGGTTAGCATAGCACACAACAAACCATAATTTTCACTATCGCAACATTTTCTATAACAAGATGCATCAATAGCAGCAGTACAAACTTCACTGTCGATGACCATTGTTTCCAAACAATCCAATACCATTCAGAGATACTCTCAGCATCCATAGAACTTGGTCAAGGAGAAGATAAATCACAACGGTGGTTAGAGGAGGTTTCCTAGAAAGCACAACTAATTAAGCTAAAGAAACAGGGTATTTGCTTTAGCTTCTTGAAAAAGGTTGTAAATATAACTAATCAAGCAAATATATCCAAAACAATTTAAGTCTGAAAACAAAAAGGAAAAGCCAAGTCATATGATCCACAAAGGAAGGATGCATAAAGCTGGATTTTAAACTACTAATATGTTATAATATCAGGCAATGAACCGGCAGCTCAATTAGTCAAAGTAAAGTAACCTTAAATCCCCTATAAATTGCTTATCATAACCAACAATGTTCAGATAGAAAACTACTGACTTGATATGCGCACACAATATAAGAAGTAAACACTTCTGGCCCATTTATATACTGGATAGCAGACTACTACAAGGTGCTCTTGTTTTGCAATGCAAACTCAAAACGATCCAGCTCTCTCAGCGCCGAGTCATCCAAGGTTTCTCAAGTCCTCCCCATGATGCAGAACTCGGACCATACAAAGGACCCTTGTCAGCAGCACCCTGAGAAACAATATGGCACATATTAGTCCAACAGACTAAAACTGCACTGAGACAAAAACTCATGTTATCAAGATTGTGCGTCTGTACCAGATGAACCCCATATCCATCTCCATAAGGTGCTGGAAAACCTCCCTCAGGGCTGCTGAATTTCATCCCATAGGGCCCACCTTTAGCAACCAGCATGAAAATAACAGTTAGAAGGCACTAGAACAGCCACCAAAGTTTTTAAAGGCAAATGCGTAACGTAAGACGTTGTTTTACCCCTCATGAGGCGAGGCGTAAAGCTTAAGGCGTCGAGACTTAAGCATTTCAGATTTCAAATTTTTATATTTAGTAAGTAATTTAAATATTTTAAAATAATAAATAAATACATCAAAATTCAAGATAAAGGTGTAAATACTTTTCTTCACTGCAGAGAAGTAAGCTTTGCTTTATTGAAAGTGAAATTGGTATTTTTAGCTATAGTGATTGAGCTTCTCACTGAGCATTGACTTTTTGTTTTTTTTCCTTGATCGGTCATTTACTTAATTTTTCCTATAAAATATAGTTGCAAAATGATTTCTTTTTTATTTTTTACTTTTTTATGTTTAAACCATCTACTAGACTAAGATTAACAAAAGCCTAAGGTAAACTCTTCACGTGCTTATGCATAAAAGGCATACAAGATGCACCTAAGGCACATGTATCAAGACTGTGTGCACAAGTCTTTGGGGAGTAAAGTCTAAAAATCAAAGCCTTGAGGCGTTTTGCCTTAGCCTCGCCTCAAGGCGAGCATCAATGCAAGAATCAGTAAAGCCTTTTAAACTTTGGTAACCACATAAAGAAATAAAAAAGACAAGCTATTCCAGTTGTGCTGCATTGCATGATAGCTATAGAGTTGAATTTGAAATAGAGACGAGTAAAAAAATTGCCAGCATTTGGTTGCAAAGGACAGAATGATATAGGAAAAAAGAAAGAAGCGCTGGAATACAAAAAAGCACTCCAGTATCAGACTAGTGTACAAACCATACTTCGCTTTTTATACTCTGTTTCTCAGCCAAAAAAAAATAGAGATAATGGATTCGGCAAAAGCAGCACAAGTCCTCTGGGTGGGGATTCACCATGGATTGTATGAAGTCTCATAATTGCTTAATTCATTTGGTGGATTGATTTGTCTGCCTTCAGACCATAGTTTTTAACTTGGATTGGATGGAAATTATATCTCACTTTGGATTGACTACTAATTGTTTTAGATCTAGACAATTGTATCGTGATTGAATTGACTTCCAAGTGTTTGGGAGATTGACTAGTATATCTATAAATAGTGGATCAACCAAATAGTTATTTTTCTATTGGTATCAAAGTAGATTGCTCAAACTTCATTTTCAAAAGCTCTACAAGCGAGATTCATTGCTATGTATACAACTATAGAAAGGAGTTCAAAATGAAACCACCCTCCTTGACGGATCCAATTTTTTTTTAAAAAAAAAAAACAATTGATGAACAAATTGCTTTCTATTGTGTTGTGAATGGTTGGAAGCAACCAACAGCCACCAAGGATGGCATGAGTGTGCCTAAACCCATTGAGCAACGACACAACTCCAACATATTGTATGCCTACTTTTATGGCAGATATTGGTGTGCAGACTCCCTCCTATATTTTTCGAGAAAAAGGACTGACATATGACCTATTCAAAGCCGCCACTGGTATGCGACTGATGAATAATTATTCTCGTATCGGAGGAATAGTTGTTGATCTACCTCCCGGTTGGATAGATAAATGTTTAGATTTTTGTAATTATTTTTTAAGAGAAGTTGTTGAATATCAAAAAACTATTACACAGAATCTTTTTTTAGAACGAGTTGAGGGAATCTGCATTATTGGTGGAGAGGAAGCAATAAATTGGGGTTTATAGTCTATCAATGCTAATCTTTTGTTGTGTCACACCCAAAGAAGTTGTCATATTTGTATTGCAAAAGAGGCATGGCATCTCTTGCAAGTCACTTGTGAAAAAACCATTAAAGCATTCAAAACTTCAAAGACTCGCTACAAAATTTGAAAGCTTGAGACTAGAAGAGAATGAGTCATTTGATGAATTTTATGCCAAATTGAGTGACATTGTAAATTCTAGCTTCAAACTTGGAAAGAATATTCTGGAGTCCAAAGTCGTGAAAAAACAATTTAGGTCATTTTTGAAAAGGTTTACTGCTATTAAAGACGTACAAGACAGAGATAAACTTTGTGTGGAACAATAGCTTGGTAACATACAAACCTACAGGCTGATTTGTGTCAACCTAAAAAATCAAATAGTGTTGCTTTCAATAGCTTTCATGTTGATCAAATGAGTCCGATGATGACATTGACTTTGATTCCGAGATGATGGTACAAGAAGCCTAGTTTCAAGAAATCAAATCAAAAGAACAAAGACAATGAAAAACTCAAAATTGGTTCTAAGACCTAGAAGAAATATGGAAAGGTATAAAGGATAAATTGTTTTGAATGTCAAAGTTATGGTTACATTGATCAAGAGTGTCCTAATCCTAACAAGAAAAATAAGAAAGACAAAGTCTATATTGTCACTCGCGATGATGAGATAGTAATGATGAGGAAGACACAAATGAGAACAATGATAGTAATTTTGTTGCTTTCTCGACCTCCACTTTCTAGCGAAAAAGGAGTTAAAGCCGATAATGTGAGTGTTCAATGAAGTTCAACCACAATGACTGAGCCATATCATGAAAGTGATGTGAAAAGAATGAGTCAGACTACAAATGTGATGAAAGTGTTGAGGATGAGACTTTACAACAAGCCTATGACAAGGTCTGTGGAGAGAGCTATAAATTGACCAAACAAAATGTGAAACTTACCACCAAACTTATGATGTGTGAGAAGGAGAGAGTACAACTGAAGCAAGAGCCTTCGAAAGCTTAAGCTAGTGTGAGTCAATTAAAAAATCTTATGGTCACCATGTCTAAAAAAATCATTGTGCGTCAAAAGGAGAAGATGAACTTGTAACTGCTTGTTAATTAAGAGCACCAAAATAAATTGTGTTCACTTGAAAAACAATTGCATGAAGAAAGATCTTAAGTCTAAGGTTGGTAAGTTGGAACATAGTTTAAATTGTGCTAATAGTACTCTCAAGACAATAAATACAAGTTGCAGGGCTTTGGATGAGATGTTAAGTGCTCAACAGCCTCTTGGGATAGAACCGAACTTGGGTATGACTTTCAAGCATCTACTTCAAAAATCCAAAGGAAGGACTATTTATCAAATTGAAGGAAATGTCCCCACTGCTCCAAAGGCTAATGATGCAAGCACATCTACCAAGAAGAGCAACACCACACTAATTGAGGTAAAAACTTTGAAGTTTACTCCTACTTGTCATCATTGTGGGGTTAAAGAACACATAAGATCGCATTGCTTCAAGTAAATTGGTAATTATGTAATGGTCAAAACCAATCTAGAAAAATTAGGAAGCAAAATGAATCAAAGAAAGTTTCCAATAAAGGGAAAGGGAACCAATGTGCTAAGATAATACCCAAAAATCAAGAAAAGTCAAAAAAGGTCAGAACTAGAGTGGTTTGGATCAAAAAGTCAGACTTGGTGTTAGTTGGACATCACCCCATTACTCTTGATTACATTGAGACCAAACATCACAAAGCGAACTTGTTCACAAAACTCTAAGATGCCCTTAGGTTTGAGTACCTCAAGAAATCGAGTAAGGGTTTCTTGTTGAATGATTCGGGTCAAATTATTCCTTGTCGGATATATTTTTATTTGTTTTGGTTTGTTTACTTGGTTCTGTTTTGGTTCATATAACTTTTTTAAAAAATTCCAAAAAAAATGTATATGATATTGAAGGGTTAACATTTCTTGAAGATCATGTAGTTATTCATGTGATGAAGAAAATGTCACTTGAGATTTCATATGCATAGACTGTGATTCATGAAATTCACAAATTTCATCCTTGTGTTATTTTCGCATACACTTCAACTTGTTAATGGAAAATTCTTCCGTGCATGTGATCAAACAATTCTATGGACCTTTCTCAATGTTTCTTGTTTTGTCAGATTTTAGATTGACCATTGTGGCTAGTATATGTCAATGTTGATTTTAATGCTCTACACCACCCCCACCTATTGTACTTTCATTGCTTCTCCCTCCATAGTGACATCATCCATGGTTTGAGGAAAGGACTACCAATGAGTACGAGTGAAAGCTTCTATTTGATATGTTCTCATTAGATATCCTAATAAATTATTGGAGGCGACTAGCATACTTAATAGTGTGAAAGCCATCTACGAAAGAACAACACAAGAAACCTGAAAGAAAAATTTGTGGGGTTGTATTGAAGGGGAGCATCTGCCATTTTATCAACAAATATACATAAGGGATCTAACCTTTTTAACTTCTCGTATGAGATGACTTGACACTATTGAATGTGGTCCAGCAATGATTTTAGCATCTTAGTGAATTCAGGAGCCACACATATAACACTTGATGAAATCCATGAGATTCATAAACTTGTGTCATAGTATCTAGGATTTTACTCTAGATTATGTTCATTTGATCTTCAAGTAAATGTGTTTTTTGAATTCGTAGGCATCTCTACATGATTTGATAGAAATTGCTTACTTGCTTTATATACTTTATGTATTGAAGTTGTTTTTCCTTATTTTTTTGCCTAGAAGTTGTTGCAGTAGTGATTGTTCAGTTTCAACCTTAAGTGTTGCAAGGTTGTCTTGACCACTCAAGTGATCATAGAGCAATTGTCAAGCGGTGTGTGCAAGGTCTGTCAGCATTATATCTTTATTATTATCTTTTATTAATTGTCATTAACTGTAGGTTTTCTTATTTTGCCCAAAGGCTTCTAATATAAGTTTCTGTTTATTAATATAAAAGGGGGCAATTACCTAATCACATCCTATGTTTTGATTTCTTCTAAACAAACTTGGTATCAAAGCCATAAGGCTTCTATCTCATCTCCTACCCTCACCCTACAGCCACCCGACACCTACCCAGACCCAGCCGAGCCTACCATAACCTTTTTCGGAACCCTCCCTAGCCTCTCTACGGCTAGCGACAGTCACCCATCATCAGCAAGATCAGCCGGAGGCCACCCAGCGACAACGGTAACACCACTCTTGGTTTTGGCACTCCCTGATGCCTCTGTAGGTGTCACACATC